ATCCTTTTATTTTATTCATTTAATATCTAATATGTCGATTGATAATTAACCATTCATAAGAAAAGCATTTCCACAACACCATTTTACGAAAATAACAATTATTATTAGCAAAATGGAAACAGAAATCTTTTAATGTCTAACATATGAATGGAAATAATCTTCTTGGTAATAGAAGGAATAAAATAAAAATTATTTAATTATAATCTAAAACCACTGGGCAAATCTAAACTACAAGATCCTATCACGTTCAGCAGCAACTTTGGCTCCAGGCTTCACGCGTAGGTCAATTTTACCCAGTCCAACTGCTACACTGCTTCTCACGCTTCTGCACATTTTTACAAATGTGTAATCCATAAGTTGTATCTAATACTTTAACAATGAGAGTTAGTTATAGACATATTTATTTAATGATAAAAATACCTGAGCTTGAAGCACCCGGTGCTTTGGCTAGATTATCCTTATACAGCTCACAATCTCTCTTCCAATGTCCTTTCTCTTTGCAGTAGAGGCAAACATCTTGTACAACCTTTGGCTTCATATGACCCCCACCTTTATGCTTTAGAGATGTAGGAGTAGGTCCAACCTTACCTTTCTTCTTTTGCTTATTCTTGTTCTTAGAACGAGACTTAGCATTAGAGCTTACCATAAGAACAGTCTTTCCTTTAGAGGTTGAGGCTTCATAAGACTTGAGCATGTTATGGAGTTCAGGCATGGCCGTTTTCGTTTTGTTCAAATTATAATTCACAATGAAGTTAGTAAATGAACTCGGAAGCGAATATAGGATGATAGCAGCTGAGACACAATCCTCAAACTTAATTCCGGTGGTAGCAACTCATTCAATTAAGCCAATCATTTTGAGGACGTGCTCAGACACGTTGCCACCCTCTTCAAGCTTACACTTGAAAATGTCTGTCAGAAGTTCATACTCTAGAGTCTGAATTTCTAAATCAAACAGACTTTTCAAGTGTTCAAGCATCTCGAAGGCGCTCATCCTATCGGGTTGCCTTTGCAACTCCATAGACATTGCAGCCAACATAACACATTGCACAATTTTAGCATCAGTGACGTGTTTCTCTCGAGCAGTCAGGTCAAACGTGGCAAACTCAGGAGAGTTGGCATTAGGAATCTTGGATACCGGTGTGTCTAACACATACTCAATATTTTCATGTCTAAGAACTAAACGCACATTTCTTTCCCAGTCCAGAAAGTTTGGTCCAGTAAGCTTGCATGTATCCAAGATACTTCTCAATGATAAATTCGACATTCCTAAAAGCCTAAAGAAGTTCAAATAGAACGGAATTAAAATCATATATTAATTCCTATGATCACATCTAGTTAACTTAATAATATGGACTTTTAATTATTTAGCTCCCACTATTTTGCATGTTCTTTGACCCCAATAAAAAGAACATGGATTGTTTTCACAATCATAGTGGCCAAGATCCACATTCATACTATTATAGTCTCAGCTTGGGCTGATCACTGCAATAATATAATGGGTAGGACCCTAGACCAATTGCGTCCAAGCAATTCTTGGTTGATCAATTTTTAATTGATCGACATCCCTAAATTAACACTGACGCTTGGGCGACTCGAGCTAATTTAGGTAAGTCAAAACCATCACACGATCACAAACATATGTATCTATAAATTAGTTCTATATTTTTTCGAATGGAATAAACACTTGGGTGAATTATTCTTCAACGAAAAAATATTTCTACTAATTTAATTATGATGGGTGATATCGTTATCCTAGATAAGACTTAAATTTTAATTTATGGGGAACATTTAGCGGGGTATCAAATTACTCTATTTAATCAAGATGCTAAAACATATTATCAAATAATATGTTTAACGAGATCTAATCAAGACAGATAAATTAAAGCATGCAATATAAATCTAATTTATAAGCAGATACAATAGTCAAACAATTAAACAAGTATAACAACAATATGTAGTTAGATAAAATTAAACTTACTTATGTCTCTAAGATAATTAATCAAATTAATTAAGATTAATTTTTATACGTAGTATTTAACAACGTATAAAAAGAATCAAGTTATATCAAGATCAGGACTTTCACAAGTTGCACATCTAATCGAATTAGACTCTGTGTATACAACATAGATTAGTGCTCCGTAAAATTAGTACAACAAAAGAAGAACCAAGTCCACTCAAACTATACTCCATCCCAAGCACGGCACCGCAACAGCATCTCTCTCGATTTTAAAAGTCTTGCATTTTTAGAAAATTGCTAGATAGTCCTTATTGTTAATCTAATTCTCAATATTAGACCCAAGGCCTCATTTTTAGCAAAGATCATTTTTAGATTCCATATAAAGTTATTGAAATTTGCAAACTCAATCCTTTAACAAAATCTAATTTGCCTAAACCAAAAATAGTACACCTCAAACGCAGAAATAAAAACAGAGAGCAAACCATAAAATTTTAGTCATGGATGGAGAATCTAATTCGCACTTGTAGGTACTTCCCATGGAAGCTAATTTCATTGTTCTTCCATCGCCTATTACTCATTGCTTGAAAATCAGTTGCCATGGCAGATAGCAAAGAGGATAGATCGCAGATTGAAAACGCAGATCTTATATCAAATTTTCAGATTTTAATTTCAAAAATCAAAACCTAATTACGTTCAAGAATTTAAAACAAAAATTGCATAAAAAATCTACAGTTGTCAATCGTCCAGCAAATAGATCGTTTTGAGAAAGAAACGATGCATTCTTCATCTGCAACCTCCGTTTGGTTTGAAAAGTATATGCAGCAGAAGGTTGGTTTGTTTCAAAAACAAAACGTGATTCAATTTCAAATATTCTAGCAGTATACATTTATCCTACTAGAATGTATACCAAAATTCGTATAATGCCATTAAAAATCAGTTTGGCTCTGATACCACTGATAGAAAATTGATGTAAGGCACCTCGAAAGTACAACAACGGAAGTTTAAAATTTTCTCAAACAAATCTTCCCTGATTATGACAAAACAACGAATATAACAATAATAACATATCTGAGTTAGAACTTACAGATCTTCCAGCCTAGCGGTGATAATCCTTGACCTTTGGTATCCACGTGATTTCTCCTTTCCGAAAGAACGGTTAGATCTCCCTAAGAGAAAGGCTAGAAAATCTCTTCGCAGGGAAATAAACTGGTAATACTGAATCGGAAAACTAGTCTACCAATTATGAAGGAGAAGGATGTATTTATACTAGTTCTAAACTAGTTTTCCAATCACAATGAAAGTCTTTCTAATTAATGAGTTCTAGTCCTACATGAACCAATACTTATCATTAACGATTTTATTAATTAAATAAGTAAAACAAAATAAACTAATAATAATATCAAAGTGGTTGCACATCACTTTGCTTGTTATTATTATTATGTATATCATTTTTTATTTTCTTTTAATTCTAAATTATAAAAGAAAATACCAACTTTATTTAATTAAAATTACATCTTAATTAAGTATAATAAATCTAATTTATCAAACTTAATTAATTCTATCAAATAGAACTTTCCTTCAACATGATGAATTAAATATATTAATCTAATTAATAATTAACTCATCTTATTTTCAGCATTATGAATTAAATATTATTTAATCCAATTAATAATATTTAATTCCTTCTAACAATTCAATCGGAAGGTATAATCACTTGTTGTGTGACCCATAGGGCCTTATATATTAAGCACTAATCAAATTAAGGTCTTAGTAGAATCTCTAGACAATTTACCAGGCAAACTTAATATATAAGGATGTTTGTGAGGACTATTCAAACTCCTTGTAGTATAGAGCTCATAGTGATATGGTCCTTTCATTCAACGAACATTCAACTAAGTCTCGAACATGATATTGTGTCTATTCCAATAACTTAGTTTTTGTCTCTCAATCTTTCTAGATGATCCATAACGATCATATTCGATATCCAAAACGAATATATCTTTGCATTGGCCAATGACTTTATGATCCATCTAGATATTAGAAGTAGAATGTTCTCTCTTAATCTATTATGAGGAATGAATCCTTTCTTGGCTCAACTACTACTCCATGTGCTTCGTGATGCACCCAACACATGCCGTATCTACCCCGATTGGAGTGCAAGCGTTGACCTCAAGTCGGAGGACTATTACATTACTCTATACGCCGATAATCCCATAGACACATGAATAGAACTTATCAAATGGTTTCTCGGTGGGTATGTCAATATTCTCTAAAATATCTATGTGACCATCATGAATTATAGGAACTCATAGTTGTGAGATCAATTATACTTTCTAAAAGTATGATGCAGTCAACATACCAATCATATCGCATATCATCAATATCACATTCTTAATGATCATAGATTTGAGCTATTTTAGGACTTTATGTTATATCATATAAGGTCTCACTTACTTATTGACAACATAAGTCCAAGGGAACACAATTATGAATAAGATATTGACAATCGAAATACTTAATCATCAATGTGTAATACCGTATATATCAAATATATAAACCTAAATGTGATCAAGTACATATATCTCTAAAAAGTGATTGTCGCTAGGACATATATACTAACAGCGTGATTCGCTCAAATACCTCCGGGATATGTATATTGTTTCTGACCGTCATAAAGGTATAATCAGTGCTGCCTCTAGAGTTTTTCCACATGCAATTCGTGGTTTTTGTGTTGAACACCTTAGGAGGAATCTGATTTCTAAGTTCAAAGGGTGTTCACATGGGATTGGTTGGAAATTTAAGGTGGCCTACAATGCAGCCATAGTGATGGAGTATGAAGAATACATGTCTATGTTGGATTCTGAAAAATATTAAGATATGTCCCTGGTTAGACAAGCTTGGCAGTCATAGATGGGCTAGGTGCATGGCTGGTCCACGTTGATTTGCTGTGTTGACCTCAAATTATGTTGAGTCATTGAATAGTATTAACGTATGTGCTCGCGAGTATTCCATTTCTAAGCTAATTGACTTTTTACGCCAACAGATGCATCAATGGTTTAGTGAAAGAAGTGAAGCGACACTCAAAACATCCACCCTTTTATCCAACAAGTGTGAAAGTCATTTAGTTGCTTTGCAATCTGAATACACACGCTTGCAGGTATTTATTTTTTTATGCCAGTCATTTATAACTAATACTTTCTTTTAGTTTCATGCTTTATGTTATTCATTATTCATTCTTCTTTGTGATATTCCATTTATAATTTCATGTTTTTTGTTTCATGCTTTCTTATATTTCACATCATAATTGACACACTAACATTTTTCTTCTTGCTATGTGATTTTAGGTGAAACCATCTTCAATTTTCGAATTTGAAGTTGTAGACAGAAAGTGCAGATCATTTGGTGTTGATCTGACTCACAAAACATGCACATGTGGTGTTTTCCAGTTAGACCAATTTGTTTGTGTTCATGCAGTAGCTTCTATTCATATGCGGCCAAGCCTTTCATGTTATTCGTTTATTTCACCATATTACTCCCGGGATGCATGGTTGTCTATCTGGACTGGTACAGTCCATCCAATTCCAGATCCACACTCATGGTCTCTGCATTCACATATTTCTAGCATTCCTTGCAAGCCTCCTCTTTGTGTGAAGAGAACTCCAGGACGTCCTAAGAAGTCTAGAACACATTCAGTTGGAGAGTTCAATGGTTCAAAACATCAAAGGTGCTCTCGCTGCCGCAGACTTGGACACAATAAGAAGAGTTATCGAAATCCAGTTCATATACAAATGCAGCCTTCAAACATATGCATAATACGTTTTACTATCTGTTTCTTTACAACTTCAATCATACGATTACATAATGAATGTCATCGTAATGCTTTGTCATTAACCCTTGCTATATAATATCTACCAAAATTACTTTAATTCTTTGTCATTAACCCTTGTCAATAACATGTTTTATATGATTATATACTTTTATGATTACACCTATATTTGATTACATACGGTTAGTAGTGCCACATACATTTTGCCTTTGGTTATTACCGAATGCCATCTTAGTGTTGGTCATTAACCCTTGTTATATAATATCTACCAAATATATAATATTAATCCTTGTCACTAACGCTTGCTATACCTCCAGGTCTTGGTCTATGCCTTAACACATTACTCTTAGTTCTTTGTTTATCTATTCGGTTTTATTTATTTTCTTTCAATACCCATATCTATGAAAGTTACTTTTAAGTTATTTTTTTTATTCCATGCACGTAATTGTTATTAATACAATTGTTTATATCAAATTTCTTAACACAAGTTCACAATTGTATTACTTTTAACTATATATTTTGTCATGCACTTTGATAAAATTCGATCAGTGTACAATGCCATGTAGTACTTTCTTATTTTTTTCGTTTACCTTAAATAGTTTAATGTGTTGTCATTTTGTTATTCCATTGCCTATAAGTTTGTGAAACCATCAGCCTATCTTAGTCCCTGTTCTTTAACAATCAAATAATCATAGCAGATAAGAAGAAGCTAATAGAAAGATATCGAGATGAAAACCAAATCTGGTATACCGTGAACTCGCTGTTGCTCTCCCTCGAGAAGGAGAGCAACGGCAAACCCTACTCTCTATCTCGCCTCTAACTCTAAAGCCTCGATCCTTAGGTTTTCCATAAGTTAGCTTCCTTTTAAAGGGGAAGTTGGCTAACTTATGGATTACAAAGAAGCTAATGGGTTGATATACATTTGTGGCCCATATTACACATTTAAATGATAACTACATTAATACAAAGATATTTAATTAGATTTGACACCATAAATATTCCCAACAATCTCTCCCTCAGTGTTCAATTGTGTTCAATCAGCATTGCAGCGCGAATATCTTTGTCTTTCAGTGCAGCTCAGCTTCCTTTGTCTTTGGACTCAACTTCTTGAGAAGGCTTTCTGAAGAAATCCTTGCAATCTCCCCTTTGATGTCTTCTTGGAAATTTGATATTGATGTCGGGGGTTGAGGAGTCTTCCTTTGGCTTGCTTGTAAACCTTGCCTTCAAGAAGTTGCTATTGATCAGCTTGAATGAAGTATGAAGGCGCCTCTAGAATGAATGTCCTGATGATTTCCAGGCGCGCACGGGATTCATCTTCGGTACATGAGTATTTGGTCTCTGTCTCCTCTACAATGTATTCTTCTTGACTATTTGAAGTGAATGCGTTTGAGGAGACCTTGTCACTAGCACATCGGAAAAAGATGGTTGACTTGTGAGAGTAACTGACCATTTGAGGTGTAGAGATAGAAGAGAGTCGTTGATTTTTGTGTTGGAGAGAAATGTCCCAGAATGATTTGTTGAGAGTTAACAGCATGTGGACCACTCTCCCCCTCATGACGATCCGATGAATCGGGGCGTCATGCTTTTATTCTTTTATTCTGGGAAACAAAATAGAAAAACAAACAAAAAGTTAAAACGACAAAATAGGATGTAAACACTGATGTGTGGCCTGTATAAAAAGATGGAAGCATTAAAGCTTTAACAGGACATCCAACCAGTCATTGTGAAGCATCCGAAGTAGATCTCACTCTGGTTGTTATGGCAAAATCATAAAGATTAGCATTGAGAACTTGTAGCCCCCCGAGGTCATGTAGACACTCGTTATCATCACTATAGAGATAAACTCTTAAGCAATGGCCTGAAAATGTTGGTGATTCTTATGTTGCAACAGAAGGACTTCCTTCCAATCATTGGTCTACATCTGTAATAGATGAGCTCTATGAAAGTTCTCGCGGGTCATGAAGACCTGCAACTGACTCTAAAAGTGCACCTGTGTCCTAGAAAATTCAAAACTTTTTGGGAGTGAAGTAACTAGACACGACGTGATCAATGAAAGTTCACTGGCATGGGGCTGAGGCCACTGTAGTCAGTATCACTTGCCTCAGAATGAGAAAATAATGAGAGATGAGGTTCCCCGTGAAATGTGATTAAACACTTGTCCGTTGGGAGACAAGTGAGTGGTCTTGGGTAGGGTTAAGCATGCACTGTTGGACAAGATGCAGTGACTTCTACCCTGGATCTGATTAAATCAGTCCTGAACCTATGGGGATTGTCGAGAGTATTTGAGTGTCTAGGAGTAAGTTCAATTGAAAACAGGCAATTGAGGTAACAGACTTATCATTGATTATTGTTTTCTTGCTCAGTTGAGCCTTCTGCTTCCTAACACTCATAATGATCACTAACTCACTCACTCACTTACTCTCGATTTTGTCCCTTGGGTAGGCTTAGTTGGGTTTACTAAGCCATAGGGACATGTTCTCTCATTGATTTTCTCTCTGTACTCCCCCTACTGGAGCACTCGATATGCTTTGTCTTTGCTGGGCGCCGAGGAGGATAACATTGAACACTCCCCCTAAAATGTTGCATCCTTTGAGAGATTCCTTGCATTGTCGGTGTAAGGCGCTAGGAGGAGAAAACTGAAACTCCCCCTCAGAATGTGAAAGGTTTGATTGCTCACAGCTTATCATACCCGCCATGTGTGTGGAGCAATCTGAACAGGTACCACACATGACGGTTTTCCCTTAGCTCATCATTTGGAATTTCAGCACGTTTGAGGATCACACAATGTTGATGAGTTAGGGGAGACTTCAGCAGTTGATTGTTGATTGTTGTAGAATGACCGTTAACGCGAGGTTGATTGAATTATCTATGATTTTCGGACCTCAACAGTGTAGTTTAGAAAAGATTTGACCTTAGGTTTGACTTTGGAAGAATTTGAACAGATTTGCCTAAGTTTTGACCTTGACATCGGTGATTGACAATGTTTGTCGGAAAGCAAACGATATCTCCCTCAAGAACCGCGAGTGAGGGCGCGTGGTTGGGGGTTCTGGGTGATAACCCCCAGAATTCATGTAGATCATTTCATTAGCTTTCGAACGACATATTATATGCTTAAATCGAATCAACGAGTCAAAAGTTATGGCCAAAACAGTGCGATGTTGCTGAAAATCTCGAAATTTTGAGTTTTTGAGGAATTTCTTCGAAGTTGAGGTTCTCGATGTTGAATATCGAGAGCAGGTGGAATTAAGGAAAATTCTAAGGCAAAACCTAGAAATCCTAATCCCGAGGTTTAAATCTCGAGATCATAATCTCAAGGTTTAAACGTTGAGATTGCAATCTCGAGGTTTAAACTTCGAGATTGCAATCTCGAGGTTTAAATCTTGAGATCACAATCTCGAGGTTTAAACTTCGAGATTGCAATCTCGAGGTTTAAATCTTGAGATCACAATCTCGAGGTTTAAACTTCGAGATTACAATCTCGAGGTTTAAAACTCGAGATTACAAACTCGAGGTTTAAAACTCGAGATTACAACCTCGAGGTTTAAAACTCGAGATTACAACCTCGAGGTTTAAAACTCGAGATTACAACCTCGAGGTTTAAAACTCGAGATTACAATCTCGAGGTTTAAAACTCGAGATTACAATCTCGAAGTTTAAACTTCGAGATTTTAATTTCGAGGTTGCCTCAAAGAATAATGACGAAATCCACCTGCAAAACAGAATCTCGAGACTTTAAAATCTTCAAAATTTCAAAATGTTTGGAACATCGAAAACTTTGGAGTTTCGAAAACCTCAGAAAATCGAGAACTTGTTGTTTGAAAAGCAGCAGAACATCGAAAAACTTCTAAAAACTTTGATAAGCAGGGATGAACTGCGAAGAATGTCAAACTTCGAAAAAATCTGAGTTTCAAGAAACTGCAAACTTTGAAAGATTCAAAACATCGAGAAATTCCAAAAATCTCGAAATCTTTCAGAATGTCGAAATCTCAAACATCGAAATCCCAAAATTTTGAGATCCCAAATTTCGAAATCCCAAATTTCGAAATCCTCAAAATGTCGAGATCCTGCAAAATTAAAATTTCAAATTTTGAAAATCTGAAAAGTGTTGAGAATATTCGTGAAGGTCGAGATTCTTCGTGTATCAGTTTCAAGTCAAAAACGTTTCTGCGGCACTGAAAAATAAGAATCTCGAGATCTCAGTGTAGAGATCTTCAAAACAGAAAGTTTGCAGAAATCGAAAAATAAGATATGTTGTAGAATCGTTATGAAATGGAGATTCCAACATTATATTTTTTACAGATTTTCGTTCACAAACAAAATTACAGGAGCAAATCTCTATATCAAAGAAAAACAGAAGAAAAGCATAGCAGTTCTTCATAAGGTTCAAAAAATCGCATAAGATTCAACCTTTTTCACGCCTCGGCTCTGATACCAACTGATAGTCCATGTTCTTTAACAATAAAACAATCATAGTAGATAAGAAGAAACAGATATAAAGATATCGAGATGAAAACCAAATCTGGTATACCGTGAACTGGCCGCTGCTCTCCCTCGAGAAGGAGAGAAGCGGCAAACCCTACTCTCTATCTCGCCTCTAACACTCAAGCCTCGATCCTTAGGTTTTCCATAAGTTAGCTTCCTTTTAAAGGGGAAGTTGGCTAACTTATGGATTACAAAAAAGCTAATGGGCTGATATACATTTGTGGCCCATATTGCACATTTAAATGATAACTACACTAATACAAAGATATTTAATTAGATTGGACACCATAAAATATTCCCAATAACCTATAATGTCTATAACTATGTGCTACACCAATAACAACAATACAGACCAATAACCACACTATTGTTTTTACGAAATATCCCACACAAACTCACAAACACAAACATAAACTTGTTGAAATAACAAAACAAAAAAACATTTATTCATGTTTGGACTTCACATACAGTTTCTTGTCCATCACATTTTACTAACCAAACAAACAAACATATGGGTTTTTCAATAGAAACATTCAACCTCTCCATATAAAGAAACATACACAGAAACACTCAATCAGCATTTTTAATATCCAAACAAGAGTTCAACCTCAACCCCGCCATTCAACCTTTTTTTGTTATAAGAAATTATTTCAACTGCCATCTTTTGCCTGTACATTTCCATGAAATCTGGTATCACTGCATCAAACTCCATATCCACCATTAAGAACTCAGCAATCTTCAATAGAAACATTCCATAATTCCCCCTACACAAAATGAAGAACAGAAATTAGCATATACATAAAGTGACAGTACATTCATGAAAGCATATATTCATTTTTTACACTGAATCCTACTGTGGGCAGTTCTCCACTGTTTCAATCAGCATTTTTGTATCCCCCATCGGTTCCTCTTCCATGCCCTCATACACCATATGATAATCCATGACCTTGGGCAGCATACTCTCAATGCATGCTTTGTATGCTATTATATCTCTCAATGAACTTGTCCGCCTCTTGCTTGAGTTATACAACTTTTACCTTTCTTTATTTGACCAGCAATACTAACAACACCAATAGCAAGTTGATCCGTATTCAAAGGGATATACACTTTATCTGCGTCTGACCAATGGATTGCAAATCTAGATGAATTGCCAAGAATTTCTTGCATAACAAAGCCACTTTCTGGTGCTTCAGCCAAGAATTGATTTGAGGTAAAACATCTCTTCTTTTGTTGTTTTCTTTTCTCTCTCCTTTCTTCTCCTCTTTGCTTCTGCAGTTTGGCTAGATAGTGTATAACGCACTGGTGATTTAGCATATCGCTTGCGTTTAGTTTCCTCTTCCTGATTCTTTGTTTCCTGTGTCAAGGCATCAAAATATTACAATTATATCTCAGTGGTCTACTGTCCAATTATATCATTTGCAGATATTGTCATTACAAACATAAATTATTACCTTCATTGCTTGTGCTCTTGTAGTTCTAATGGTTTGTGTTTCATTGTCTTCTTTTTTCTTTCCCCAGAACATGTTTTTCATTCTTGTCAACATTACTGCAAAGCTCATTTATGAATTGTGTGCTCTCTTGACTCCAGAATTGTTGTTCCTGCACAGTAGCATCTTTTGCAGCTCCTTGTTCTTCTTCACTCATACATGTCACCTGAGTTCAATGCCATGTCAATTCATTGTTACACCATTTCAACTTATATTGCCATGTGAAAAAGTTGACATTAAGTGAGTACATCTATTACAGTGAGTACATGTATTGCTTTACCTTTTGATTTTCTTCACTTTCATCACTGGCCTTTTTATTTTCTTTTTCTTCATTCAAGTTCAGACCCTAAAAAAATATTTCATGTTGTCAATTAAAAAATTATAATTATTAGTGATAGAGTATATATTCTAGAGAGAAGTGAGAGCTAGAGAGAGAAGTGCTATAAATGCTTGCTATTAATGATTTGTGAACCCCCTACAACTACTCCCAAGGGGAGTATTTATACAGGAAATTAGGACTGGGCTCTCAAGTCTTGGGCCTGGGAGGCCCATTTACAATCGAGCCACTACTGGGCTGAGTACAAAGAATGTAGAAATGACTAAGTACGGAATCCGGTTCTGTGAGCTATCTCTGGCCGACGAGGGTCTAGCCGACGAAGCCATGGACGACGGAGCCATGGACGACGGTGACACCGGGTTCTCCTGTCTTCTAGATCATAATCTGAGCCGATATCTTTCTGGCCGATGGAGGGCCATCTGGCCGACGAAGGCCCCACTTGGTGACAGTTGTGCCTCTTGTTCTTCTGAGTATATGGGTCCTGGGGTCCAGACCCATATACTCCACAATTAGTGTGGTTATTATGAATATAAAAAATTCAATGGCACTTATTTGTTACCTGATTAACCTCTGCACTTATGTGTTGGTCTTCTACTTCTCGTTCACTGTCATCCTTCTTTTTTTGTTGTTCTTGTTCTTCATTCAAAACCAATCCCTAAAAAACTATTCAATTTATTATCAATTAAAAATAACATATTATTATTGTGATTACTTATGAAAATAAAAACTTTAATGGCACTAATCTTTTATCTCAGAAAAATCTTCATTATTGTCCTCTTGTTCTACCTCTGCTACACTGTCAGCCTTCTTCTTTTGATGTTCTTCTGCATTGAAAGTTTGCCCCTGAAAAAATATTCAATATATTATCAATAAAAAAACAAATTAGTAAAGTGCTTACTTATTCAAATAAAACCTGTAATGGCACTTATTAGTTACCTCAGAATATACTGCATTATTCTCCTCCTGTTCTATCTCTGCTACACTGTCAGCCTTTTTGTTTTGTTGTTCTTGTTCTTCATTCAAAGTCTGACCCTGAAAATTATTGAATTTATTAATGTTCTTACTTATTGAAAAAAACTTTAATGGCACTTATTTGTTACCTCAAAAGATTCTGAATCTTGTTGTGGTTGTTCCTAAGTTAAATCACCAAATATTTGGAAACTTGGCCCATCTGTCATGTTCTCTAAAATGGTATCAGCATTGACTTGCTCTGTCACATGCTCCCCCACATTCACTTCCTCTGCTACACCCTCATCCTTCTCATTTTCATTCTCAGTGTTGTTGCGCATCATCCTTTCCTGCTCCTTATTCATCTGGAAGACTTGTAATCATATTCTGTTGATTGCTTCCATCATTACCTTTTGGTTCTTCACTCTTTGAGAGTTGCCTCATGGAAAGCAGAATCTTATTCAACATTGCATTCTGCTTCTTTTGTTGGCTTTTCACATCTTTTATATCATCAATGATTTTGGGAATCTGCTTATCATGCGCCTCCAGTTTTTCAAGAATCTTTTTTGAATCTTTTTTTTTCTCCATATCACTATCTCCATCACCACTTTCATTACTTTTCTTCTTTTTATTTTTCATCTGGATAACACTTTTCCCGGTGTTTCTTTTCTGCTTTTTTGCATTTGCTTTCTGCTTTGCTTTTGCTAGTGGCATCCGCTTCTTCTCCATCAATTCTATCTCATGCTTTACTTGAAATGTGTGCATCATCTCCAGAAACTTCAGCAAGACCTTCTATTTTATGAAATTCCTCTTCGGTTGTTGTAATCTATTTCCACTTAAACTGCAATCATCACCAAAAAAAAGTTTTTATCATATTTACTTATGTATATATATTTTATCTTCATTTTTAAATGTATTCAATTTGTATGAATCTGAATGAACGTACCTTGGGATTGAAGAATATAAGCTCACAAAATTTTTCTATAGAAGGCTTCTTACTAAAATCCCATTTCAGTGTCCTTGGTATTGCATTTTCTCTGCCCTCAATTACACTGCAGAGAACTTCTTTGCTTAACCTTTGAAATGTTTCAAAAGCCCATATTTGGATGACATGCAGACAACCAGTGAAAGCAACTCTTTGTCCTTTACAGTTCTTCAATAGGTACCTCTACACAAAGCTTCATATTGGTTACCAAGTCACCCCAGACATCATCTCCCCATGGATGAGCTTTGAAGGCTTCTAAATCATTTATAGATTGATATATTTGGATTCCGATGGCTTTGAGTACTGGTTTATAGTCCATGTGCTAACACATAAAGCAGCCCTAGCTTCACTCCATCATTTCTTACTCTGGTTTTAGGTGTGCTTTTGTAAGCTTCCAGAGCATGCAATATATCTTGCCTTAAGACGGCTTCTTTGCTTCCAAAATATCTTAGCGACAAATCCACTTAAAGCTCATCGGCAATCACTGGTTTAGTGCCTCCCATTTTTAAAGCAGTCACCAATGTCATATCTGCCTTTGTAAATGTAATCACACTTCTACCTATGTTAAACCTTATGGCAACTTTCTCTTCCTCACCATTGAACTCTTCAATGAAGCTTGATATTAATGATATGCTTAACTGGCCACTTAGCCTGGGCATGTATTAATATCTAGCATCCATCCAAATACAGTACCTCGAAAAGCTGTCACTTCTTCCTTCAAACGCTTTTTATACGCTTTGCCACCTCACTCAAATTGCAATATCCATTAACTCTCATGTCTTCTGGCAACTTTGTCAACAATCCCTCTTGACAGGTTCTAACAATAGTCCGTGTAATTACATTTACCTACGTTAAATGCCATAAAAGTATATAAATTCAAATAAATGGCACTTATGTTTTACACTGAATGATGTGATTACCTTGGCACTACTTTGTATTAATTTGGCAATGAAATTAAGCAATGTATATGCTAACATATTTGTTTTAGCACAATTTTATGAATATGTACTAATTTTGCACAACACTATTAATTTCATTGTAACATATCAGTTAAATCATTCAAATTTGGCACTACTGCTTAAAAACAATACACATGTCCAAATACATCACAACATCATGCAATGGACTATTTTAAAATCTTCCAGTTTTGCAATTACACTTTCAATTTTGTCATAACATTGGAACTCTAATCACTCATGGCACTACAAATTTTACTATTACACAGCTTCACACAATCACTATTCAGTTTTCAAACATTTGTCATTCTTACATATGCAATCTCATAACTGACACTCAACATATCAAACATATCATTTCACATGTCATTAACGTCAAATCAGATGTGTACATACAATCATTTTAGGAGTTATAGACTTCTTTTGAATTATCATGCTCCACTCAAAAACTTCTAGTTTTGCAACTACACTTTCAATTTTGTCATAGCATTTGAGCTATTTTCATTCATGGCACTACAAATTTCAGTATTACAGAGTTCCACACAATCAAGTTCAGTTTTCAAATATTTGCCATTCTTACATACAAAATCTCCTAATGACACTCAACATATCAAATATATCATTTCACATGTCATTAACATCAAATCAGATGTGTACATACAATCATTTTAGGAGCTATAGACTCCTTTTGCATTATCATGCTCCACATTGTCAAAAACTTCTAGTTTTGCAATTACACTTTCAATTTTGTCATAGCATTTAAACTATTTTCATTCATGGCACTACAAATTTCAGTATTGCAGAGTTCCACACAATCAATGTTCAGTTTTCAAACATTTGCCATTCTTACATACAAAATCTTCTAATGACACTCAACATATCAAATATATCATTTCACATGTCATTAGCATCAAATCAGATGTGTACATACAATCATTTTAGGAGTTAGAGACTTCTTTTGCATTATCATGCTCCGACCACATTGTCAAAAACTTCCAGTTTTGCAATTACACTTTTAATTTTGTCATAGCTTTTGATTTATTTTCATTCATGGCATTACAAATTTCATGATCACAGAGTTCCACACATTCAATGTTCAGTTTTCAAATATTTGCCATTCTTACATACACAATTCTCTAATGACACTCAACATATCTAATATATCACTTCACATGTCATTAACATCAAATCAGATGTGTACATACAATCATTTTAGGAGTTATAGACTTCTTTTGCATTATCATGCTCCACATTGTCAAGAACTTCCAGTTTTGCAATTATACTTTCAATTTTGTCATAGCATTTGAACTATTTTATTCATGGCACTATAAATTTCAGTTTTATAGAGTTCCACACAATCAATGTTCAGTTTTCAAATATTTGGGATTCTTACATACATAATTCGCTAATGACACTCAACATATCAAATATATCATTTCACATTTTATTAACATCAAATCAAATCTATACATACGATCATTTTAGGAGTTATAGACTTCTTTTGCATTATCATGCTCCACATTGTCAAAAAGTTCCAGTTTTGCAACTACACTTTCAATGTTGTCATAGCATTTGAATTGCTTTCATTCATGGCACTACAAATTTCAGTATTAGAGAGTTCCACACAATCAATGTTCAGTTTTCAAATACTTGGCATTTTTACATACACAATTCGCTAATGACACTGAACATATCAAATATATCATCACACATGACATTAACATCAAATCAAATCTATACATACAAGCATTGTAACCGCTATAAACTACTTCTGTATTATAATGCTTGACATTTTCTCGTTTTAGAAACACGTAAATGTATTCGCACTTTTGGATGTCGCTTTCATGATTTCTGTTATTTTGACATTAAACATCTTTTTTTGC